AAAAAAAAAAAAAATAGTATTCCACCCATTCATTTTGATTTTAACAAAATGGGGGCTTGTTGTCACGTTTCTCATATTTTAATCCAAGATGTCAATTCTTAGCTATAAATCTACTGCGCACTCAGGTATTGAAGTAGGAAGAGGAAAGCACGTCATGGATTCAAACAAGAAGCTGTTCTTAGCTCTAGTTACTGCTTCCACAGCTATGGGAGCAATCATTTTGTTTCTTTTGTGTTTCTGGGTTTATCATAGGAAGTACACAAACAAATCGAAGAAGAAAAGTGATCATAGCTCAGGTACTCTCTTTTGGGATTAATTTCTTTTATGGTTTCTACATCTTCAATTTCATGATCTTTTGCTGAGATTTTTCTGTTTTTGTTTTCTTTATAGATGTTTCAGAAGGGCTTGCATTCTCTCAGCTTCGATTCTTGGGTAAATACAATACTCTCAAGACATGTCGTAGAAAGGGATCTGTAACTACAATGAATTTCAAGATGTTAGAATCAGCTACCAACAATTTCAGTGAAAGTGAAATCTTGGGTGTGGGGGGATTTGGATGTGTGTACAAGGCTAAGTTAGAAATGAACTTATCTGTGGCTGTGAAGAGACTCCATGGGGGAACTTCAGACGCCATAAGAGAATTTGAGGTACCAAATTATCTCGAAAGTTTGTTTATGCTTGCTCTTCTATCCATTTGTACTGCAGATCTAAATTAATTGCTTATTCTTGAATTTGCAGAATGAAGTAGAGTTGCTGAGCAATATTCAGCACCCGAATATAATTTCTTTGTTGGGTTGTAGCATTCATGCAGAAATAAGGCTTCTTGTTTTTGAACTGATGCAGAATGGATCTCTGGAAACTCAATTGCATGGTAAAAACATTTCAATAAAGTTATATCGGGATTATGAAAATCAAATACAGACTCTGAATTTCCCCTTGGCTTTATTAATGTTTATTAATGTTTTAAGGAACTTCGCGTGGATCTGCATTAAACTGGCATCTTCGGATGAAAATTGCTCTTGATGTAGCAAGGTGAGTATTTGCACATAAACAGACACTCCCATGTGGATATTTAATACTGTAATTATCATTGACTATTGATGTTGGATGTTGATTTATTGCAACTGTTTGGCCAGAGGATTAGAATATTTGCATGAGCACTGCCATCCACCAATAATTCACAGAGATCTGAAATCATCTAATATTCTTCTAGATTCCAACTTCAATGCCACGGTAAAAACTCTAGAAAATTCAGTCTTTGATCTATTTCTACCCTTTTCTGACTATTATATTGCTAACTTATGAAAATTCGCTCGTTTTCTACCTTTGTTTAGCTTTCAGATTTTGGTCTTGCTGTACGCGATGGTGCCCAGAAGAGTGGCAACATTAAACTTTCAGGAACTTTGGGTTATATAGCCCCCGAGTACCTTTTAGACGGTACACAATCTCAAATTTCTTTGTTTCTTTTGTTGTATGCAAACGTTGATTTTTTAGACTGCAAATTATGTTTCTCGATGTTGCTACTTCACGTTCGAGGACTAGAGTTTTTAATAGGCCGTTAGTTTTGGCATACGGCGAGTCTTTGCCTTGTTGGTTCCATTTTGGTGATCGCGACTTTCTTTTTTCAAAATTTTCTCCTGTAGGTAAGTTAACAGATAAAAGCGATGTTTACGCATTTGGAGTTGTTTTACTGGAGCTTCTACTGGGAAGAAAACCTGTGGAGAAACCGGCACCAGCTCAATGCCAATCTATCGTCACATGGGTATGCCTGACTGTTAAATACACAGCACGTGGTTTTCTACCAGTGCCATCAACTTTTTATTAGAAGCTTAATATGTAAACGAAATGCAGGCGATGCCCCAACTAACTGATAGATCCAAACTTCCAAACATTGTAGACCCTGTAATCAGAAACACAATGGATTTAAAGCACCTGTATCAGGTTTGTGAATCCAATCTAATCTTTGGGACATGGCATTTCTGGGTAGAAGCAGAAACCGGAATTTCTGTGCTATATTAAGATAAGATATCCTCTTCGCAGGTTGCTGCAGTTGCTGTATTATGCATTCAACCAGAACCGAGCTATCGTCCATTGATAACAGATGTATTGCATTCTCTCACCCCCCTTGTTCCCATGGAGCTTGGTGGCACCCTCAGAATTACAAAACAGGCGCCACCTGCAGTCGCCACAATGCCTTCCAACAACTGATTTTATCGAAGTGCGATTTTATTCAGTTACAGTGCCGGTAGGGATGATTCAATTGTTCCCAATATATTCAATTTTTCGATTATTTTCTATGGGATTTCACTTTTTGCTTTAATATATGTAGAGATGATAAGACGCTTGTGTATATATATAAAATAGTGAAACAAACGTTAAACCATTAGCCAATATATTTCCTTTTTGTTTCATATCATCACACACTAGACAACTTGGAAAGACTTGGCCAGCATTCAAGAAGCCATATTTATTTATTCCCCACTATTCTTCAACTATTTGATGCAGATGCAATCGTTCAAAAATTTCTACGCACAATATTGATGTCCAAAATTTCCTCGTACAGATTAACAAAGAAAAACGCTATGTAACGACATTTGAAGTGATAAATTCATCAAAATTCTTCAGGAGTTTATGTGGAATTTGTATCTTATGATCTTCTCCTCTTCTACTTCACATTGTGGTATGAATCAACAATGGCATCTGCAAGGTATTCACATTTGGCCGAAGATAGTCCAGCTAAGGATATTCTCCCGTCCTTCGTCATGTAAACATGCCACTTGCTGGTCATATTCTCAGTCTGATTCAGGACAGAATACGAAATATCAGCACAAGATACATGGGCTCACCAGTCACAATTTGCAGAGTTTGAATTCGACAGTATAAAACTTTAGCCCGTCACCAAATTTTCATTTTTTCCCATTTGACGTAAAATTGATTATTACTACAGACGTGAAACTAGGAATTTTTTATTTTTTTTATTTTTCCCTAATATGTTAAGGTAAGTATAAAGACTCACATTCAATCACGACATCATATGCCACCTTAAAAATGCTGGGATTTTTAATTTTTACCTGAGTTTTGCTCAGTCCAGTGAAGGAAAACATGCCAATCTGTTTGAGAATAAATGACCAGTCCTTCCCACTCTTATCTTTTGCACAGAGGCTATCATACAATTTCTGTCTGACGCTTCTTATTCTTCCAGCCATCATTTCCATCTCCTCCTTCCATTGATTGAAAAGCTCTGGACTTCCAACAACATTGGCTACGATCCTAGCTCCATGTATGGGAGGATTTGAGTACATAGGCCGTGCAAGTCTTTTGAGTTGGCTCTTTACCCTGCAAAATGAATGATCTGATTTGCATACATAGACTTAATAATATTACGTAATCTCCCTTCACAGATTCTAGGGAACTAATAGTGCATAACCTTATGAAACACTTCACATGTATTCCATCTAAATGACAATGGAATTTGTAGGTACTTAGAATTCCTTGGAAGTATCCATGAAGATATCCTCTCGACAAACTTAGGAGAAGATAAGACAAGCAGAATGCAGGATACTTCAAATTTTACAAGCTGATGTGGCTAAGTATGTATGCCCAAGGGGTGGATTTGGTCAGATATCGGTAAACGGGTTGAAACAGAACTCGCTTATATGTAGTGCAGCGTCAAATTGGGTCAAGATTGAACTCATGGAACGTTGTGAAGCATTTTTTCATCTTTTTTTTCTCAACTATGTATCCTTCCTTACGCCAAAGCCTTTATTCAGCCATATGGCATCTATTGCTTCTTCTGTAAACATATCTTTAATGAGAAATCATAGAGGGGTGGTGTCAGCATATCCAAATGTTAATTGCAGGTGGACAAAAGGGAGAGTCTGCAGTGCTTAACACGGCTAGGGTATTTCCAACTAGAGTACTATGGTCAACATCGTTATTGGATTGGTAAAGACTTGAATAGAATTATGTGCACACAGATCCGAGCTCATGCTGCAAGTCATTAACTGAACTAGATAACAAAAGAGAGAGGAGATTGAAATAATTGACCACTTGTACCTTGCGGCTGCATCTGATGATGCACAGACAACATTGATTGCTCCAATCCTTTCTGCATAAAGACCCAAGTTTTTACTATATGACTGAGCAACGAAAAGCTCCACACCTCGTGCGACAAATAATCTCACAGATGATGCATCTTCATCCAGGCTACCACTTGCAAAGCCCTATACTCAAATAGGGGAAATTCCACTATCAATACCTTCAACTTCCAACTGATTCTGGTGTAAAATACATGAATATGAAAAGATGTTCAAGTAATTTCATAAGTTTTTGTCCTATTAAAAAAAAAAAAAAAGTTTCATAAGTTTTTGAAATTCTTTCTTTAAAATTGGATCCACAATTTCCCACCTAGCAGAATGGCTGAGCACTTAATTGAACTTAAAGGCCAAATGTAAAGCAAACAAAACGTTCCTAATTCACACGAGGAATTACCTGGTAGGCAACATCAAAAAATGGAATATGACTTTTCTCTTGAATGACATCAGCAATTTTTTCCCATTGTTCAGGGGTGGGATCAATGCCAGTTGGATTGTGCGCACAACCGTGAAGTAACACAAAAGATCCATCAGGTGCTGCCTATAAACAGGAAAACAGGAAATTCCAGCTTAATATGATCAAGAGGCAAAGCCTTTTTGGCCTCGATATTTTTCTCCTTCGATTGTCATGGAGAAAAGCTTAGTCAATCATGCTCTCTGCATCAGTCACATGCATCTCACATGTGCAAGAGTGTCGACTTCAGAATTAGATTTGATTTAACCAGAAAGAGGAAAAAAACCAAGAACTTGATTTTAGATAACAAATATTACAATAAATTAATTAGCAAAGACATAATAGTAGTAGTACGCATAGATAGAAGGATGAAATACACCCTGCATATTGTCCTAGTTGGACCCAACCCTATGTCTATATAGTATATAGTTTTTCTTTTCTAACAGAAGTGCAAAATTCAAAATTTTCGCTGTTTAGTAGAGGGACAAAAGGGACTCCAATTGCAGTCTAATAGTAAAATTGCTTATATATCAAGCATACAAAGGAACAGGCAGGAAGGGCAGCCCTTGGATTAATAGGAACACTCCCTCTATAAGTAAAACCAAATCAATGAACACATTAATAGGCTCCGAGTTACTAGAGAAATTCTTTAAACATGATATTAAAATTATACAACCCGTAAATGCATTGTCATCATATTCGTAGCATCAAGATAAATGAAAGGCATTGAAAGACAGGCCAACAAGACAAAAAATAGTTGACTCCATGTATGTCCCACAATTTTGGGTGGTTCAAGCTAACCTTTATGTCTGATATCATCCCATCAAAATCCAAACCAACAGTTTTGGGGTCATAATACCGATATTCCGACCAAGGAACTCGAGCATCATTGAAAATGTTCTTATGGTTTCCTACAAGGACATTACAAGTCAAACTGTAAGTGCCCACATAATATCCAGGGTAGTCCAAGAGTATGACAATAAATACCCCAGGTCGGAGATGATATTAAAACTTTGGCACCAGGAAAATATCGCTCTATGAGTGCTGCAGCAAGCCGCAGAGACCCAGTTCCTGAAAGACCTTGAACGGTGGCAACCTGAATGCAGGTAACAGAATTGGTTACATGAAAAACCTGTCTTTAAATAAAATAAAAAGAGCACATGGGATTTATTTCTGTATTTGTAAAAGAAAAAGTGCTATTCTCATACTCTTTGTTGCTGAATAACTGTATTGTCAGCCCCAAACAATAATTCTGCTGTCACCTTGTTAAAGGCTGCCAAGCCTTCGATTGGAAGATACTACACATTCAGATCCAGAAGATGGTAAGGAATCTGGAGTTATAAAAAACACACCAGGTCAAACCATCCTTTTTAACATATTAAGTACCTCTTTGTTTTCTCCTCTTTCCAACATGAGATTTTCTGCCTACATAAACATTTCAACAAATCATTAGTCTGTCATAAAACAACAAATACAAATTTAGTTAAAATTGGGTATGCTGTATTAATCCCTTTTTTAACATTCCTTTTGGTCCATTACGACATCTACCTGAATACTCAATATAATCGGATCCTACACAACCACGTAAACTATTTGAATGTTAGTCCACTCTTCTCAGTAATAACCAATCTGTTTTACTAGGATCCCTTCAATCTTGTGAATGGGAACTTTTTTAATGTGTCATCAAATGAGAAAACAAAATCCACTTATCTCACCATTACAAACTCAAATTAGAAATATTCTTTTCATAAAGCCATTGATAAAAACAAAATCAAAGCAGTATAATATAATACATATGAACCAAAAGAGTCAAGAAAAGAACTTGCCTTCTTAACAACATTAAGTACATATGGTTGAAGATCTTCGGTACGATAAGCACCCACACCAAGGTTAAGCTTCATTTCATTTGTGTCAGCTTTAAATGCTTCAGAAACTCCGAGGATAGGGTCAGGAGGAGCCATTGTTATGTCATTGAATCGGGAAACTTTGACAGCAACAGTCATGCTTGTCCGAGTGTAAGACTGCAGCAAACATATAACAGAAATGCAATATCTGTTTACAGAAAGAATTGAATTTTATTCTTTAGCATCAATGACATAATCCCTTAATCAAAAGACCCTACAGACATTTAGTTCCTAGTCGGTTCTGTTTACTTAAGGTCCAATCAACAACCTAATAATGCATATTTTTCTGCAGATGAACTGCAATGGAAGAATAAACTTGATCACATCGACAAAACAGGTTTTCTTCAGGAGTCTCTCAGCCTGATTCAGATGACCATGATATTTAAAAACAGTTGCATTAGGATGTCAGTTCACATAGGAGAGGAGACTAAGGATAAATGAGATAATGGCAATCCAGTATGGCACTTATAAATTATTGAAATTGAAAAACAACAGTAATTGTATTTAAGCCCCTAGAGCTAGAGGTGAGGTTGCATTCTACAATGTTATACAGATGCTTGAGTGAATAGTCAGAAAGAAACACAAGCTTTAAAACCTATTTGCCAAGGGGAATCATGGTGCTGCAAGAAAATACACCATAGAAACATATACAAAAAGAAAAAAGAAATGAATGGCTATGATAAAAGATAAAGAGTATACAAAACAAAGATCTCAATGCTGCCTCATAATTATAAGATTGAAGTGAGATGAACGAGTATTTTCCTGTTTCAATACAAATGTAAAAAAGAAATGAAATTTATGGTTCAGTATAGCGAGTGTTACAGAGTAGTCCATTTTTATTGAAATCATCTTTGCAAATAGGCATACGAACAATCATCAGAAGTACGAAAGCCAACACCACATCATGCATTTAAAAACGGAGAAAGATATTACATATTTTAAATAAATCACGAACTGATCCTTATTATGAAAAGCCATAAATAACTATACAAATCCAGATGTAGAATTACTGCTTTTTCTATATTAAGATATACACGGTAAAAAAGATAAACTCACCTTTGTCTTACTAAAATCTGAACCCAAGAAGTTAATTAGACTCGAAGTTCCACTCTTCCAATTTGTCTTATAAATCCAAGAAACAACAAAATTCATAAATTTCCATACTTTATAATTCAAAGAATCTCTTGATACTTCAAACTCACAATTCAAGATTAGAATTCCTTACTGAGCCACCAAGAACTGAAAAGATGATAATAAATAGTAATTGTTTGTCGATAATTATTGAATTTCGATAATAGATGGGTACCTTGAAATTCTCTTGCAGTGAAAGTGAAGCAGATGGAGAAACAGACGCAAGAGATAGCATTGCTAAAGCCATCTAGGAATCTATTATCCACCTGGGAAAATGATCCATCAAATTAATCAGTGCTAAAATCAGCTGTAATCTCATCGGATCATATATAATTATGAATTATGTATCAAATAGACAATTCAAATGTCCTAAATTCCGCTGAATCGAGATCAGAACGTTAAACTGACCCACAGAAAATGGTTTGTTTTACCTAAAAAGAATTGCTGTTATTAAGAAAAGGAGAAACGACCCAACAAAAGAGATGAGGGGCGGTAAGGAATGAGCGATAGAAACGAGGGAGACAGAGCCTCAGGTGTTTATCAATTGGAGTACTGACATTGATTAGTCTGATCCGACTAATAATATTATAATTTGAGGGTGTAATATTCGCTTAATAAAATGCTTCCACATCGGATTTAACTTCTAAACAAAAACAATTTGATTCATTATTTTCCACGACCTTAAGAAATATTACATGATTTTCTTTCGATTAGGCCTCGAAAGGAGAAAGATTACTAGTTAATGGAATGTCAAACTCAATTGTTCTAATATTCTAAGATGTTACTAGTTCCTTATTTACCTCTGTTTAGTTTAGTTAAGAATTGAAGTTTAAATAGATTTTGATGAATGTATACGTTGTAAAAAAATTGATAATTTGTAGATTTCAATGTTACGTGTGATTGAAAAGAAATTTTAAAAAGATGAAGGGCAAACATATGCTTAGCTCTTGTTTAGACTCCATTAAAATTAAATTTTTGAAGAAAATGTATTNAAATTTTAAAAAGATGAAGGGCAAACATATGCTTAGCTCTTGTTTAGACTCCATTAAAATTAAATTTTTGAAGAAAATGTATTTCAGAATAGTGATTTTTTTAGAAAATATGGGATTAAAAAATAAGATTTTTTTTTATATGTAATATTATTTTATGAGAGAATGAATGATTGAAAATGAATTCTGAAAAATTGTATTTTCCAAAGAATAAAGCCAAAATTAGGGATAGCAAACGAGACAGGTCGACCATTCCCACCTCTGTCCCATCAAGTATTTTTGTCACTTTATCCCATCTCCATACTCAATTAAAGCGGGAAGGGATGGGTTCAAGGCTCATCAGGGGTGGGCTGAGGCTGATCCTCGGCCCCTATTTATCGTCTTGTTTTTTTTTTTTTTTTTTTTTTTTTTTTTTTTTTCTTTTTCTTTTTTTTTCCTTTAGTTTGTGCAAATTATGTGCTTTTGCTTTTTTATGCCTTTAGTTAGTGCATATTATTACTTTTTTTCCAATTTGTTAAGAGCAACATATGTTATCTTTAAAAATATAATATATTTTTTTATTTGATAAAAAATTTAACTTTAACTGGGAAGGGGACTATGTTTCCCATCCACTCCCTGTTTACGGGATTAGGCAGGTAATACATGGGATGGGGTCCTGTAAATATCGAGTTGAACTAATTTTTTGCGATCCCTACATATAGGAGCTTAGTATATTGAATTATGAGCGTGTGATTTTTGTTGAAACAAATACTATAAACATTAGCCAAACAATAAAGTTTGAGATCAACACTTTATATTTTTTAAATTAAATATTATCTTGCTCTAATAGTAGTAAAAGAACACTACATTGACAACCAAAGCTAAAATTCTCCCCCAATAAACTGGATTAAAGAATAATTCTGCATTAAAATATTGCAGAAACATATTAACCAGTCGATTCCTCCATCAAGTGTTATAAATCGCATTACAACCTAGTGATTGTCAACGTCGAGTGATAATTTTAAAAGGTATTGTATAGTGGATTGGAGACTGAAATTTGGAAGATGATTACAAGTTTGATTTCGAGACAAAATTATTAAGCCCTTTTGATATTAATTAAAATTTAGATTTTAATTTAAGTAAAAATTAATAATTAATTTTAATCATATATTTTATGAGATTCGAAACTTTTTAGTTACATATTTTGTCAACTTTTATCAATATTTACTAAAAATTTGATTTTAATCTTTATCAAATGGACGAAGGCTTTATTTTTCGGATTTTTTTTTCAGTCCACCATTTGGGCCCATGTTTTGGGGTCACGAACTCAGAAAAGTGATACTCATTGAAAGCCCTATAGTCTTTTAACATTTTAGTTGAACCGGCCTTTTATCGTTTTTTGGCTATCTGTTTAGAAGACTTCATTTTGCGGTTGATATCAAAAAAGTATTCTTTTCAAAGAAATTTGCAATGGAAGTTTCACACTTTTCAAAAAAAAAAAAAAAAAAAGGAAAAGAAAATAAGAGGAAATAAAGAAAGAAAGTAAAGGACGATATTAAACCTTTAAATTATAGAAGACACATTCCAAAATCTTTCAAAAATTATTGTAGAAGGACATCTGTATAGTTTCGTCCAAAAATTCATTAATTGACAAAAAAAATCAAGCGTTTGACTATAATATACCATCTTTAAAAAGGATAATATGGTAAATCTATATTTTTCGACTAAAATAATTAAAATAAAGAAATAAACGAGAAAAAGAAATTTCTTCATCTTCCCCTATCCCAACTCCAACTCACAATTCACCATTGTGAGACATTATTTTGCATCAAGATTTGGAGACATAACAGTTTCATTTTTTCAAAAATTCATTTTTTTCAAAACTCATTTTCAACCACACATTCTTTAATAAAATAATTTTACACGTAAATCGAAAATATGTTCCAACTTTCTAATTACACGTACTTCAAAAACTTACTATTTAAAAATACATTCTCTTCAAAACGGGGCTCAAACAAGGGCTATGCATTTGTTTAACGAGCTTTCTCATTACACTACAATAAAATAATTGTTAAAAAACTGAGGTGCGCAGAAGCATTGGGACGCTTTATTTTTGACAGAACATGATGAAACCCTTTTGGAAGAAAACACCCTCATTATTCAAAATCAATTTACGGAAATAACCCTTCCAAATGCAACCAAAGAGTCTTGTTTAATGTACCGAAGAAGTTTTCACAAAATGCTGTCAAAATACACACATAGAGGGGTGAGTATGATATTTTTTTGGCAAATTTTTTCATGGTGGACCTCATATTATAAGACTATTCTGACAACATTTTATAAGAAGTTATTTTGTACATATGGACTTATCCTGCAACCAAATGAATAGTAGAACCATTCAACGGAAGGGTAAATAAAAAAGGTTAATTCTACGTGTAAATTATGATATCTATAAGGATGTCTATAATGTATAAATGACATAACATTATTAAAAGAATGAAAAAACTGTTTTTAACCCTTCAATCATGAAATTCTATATGTACATTATGAACATCCATATAAATATGTACTCATGTTTATAAAAGTCAACAATGAAATGTGCGTTTTTTCACCCCAACTGGCAAATGCATTTAATGTTGTCCCATGATGATAGAAAATGAAATTGGTCAATTCTAATTTTAATGAGATGGCCGGGATGCTATGTACTGTACAAAGTTCTGCACCAAATGACGCTCTTCTGTTTAAAATTGCAACGAGATATTCATAATCAGTCCAAAAGCCCCAACAACCATTCAATTCATTCAAAAATCTTAACATCAAAAAATAAAGTATCCCAACAAAACCTATTTCACGAACACAACAGAATGTCGTGACAAAATCCAAAACCCAATCAAGTAAAGCTCTTCGAAATTGCAGGTACTTTGTCCTTCTAATTTTAGTTCCTTTTGAAACTTTTATGTGTTATTTGATACATTGTAATCAGGGGCGGATCCAGACAGGGTCGGTCCTGTGATTGTCGGGCCCGAGACAAAGCCTAAAAATTGGGCCCCCTCCCGAAATCAACGTAAATGCAATGGATAAAGGATATATATAGTTGGGTAATTGGACTAAGGCTAAGGGCATTGGATTGGATTTGGGCTTGAAGTTGTGGGCTACATTTCTGCATCACTGGATCTGGTTCAAGTTCAACTATAAAAGAGAGAGTGGAGAAAAAAAAAAAAAATTGGGCCCAAAGTGAGGCCCTCCTAGATGTTGGGCCTGAGGAATAGGCCTCATTTGCCTAACCCCAAGACCGGGCTTGGATCCAGACACTTTGGATTAGGGGGTCACAATTAAACTTTCAAACGGTGGGCAAATCGTAAATGATAATGATAGTCCGTAATCGACATATTGGGAGGGGAGACAAATGCACAAAGTTGAGTTTGGAGCTGTCGATTGCATAATATATTTATAGTGTAAGTTTTAAACTTTAACATTCTTTAAAAAAAAAAAAAAATTGTAGAAACTGGGGGGTCAATTGACCCTATAGGACTCCTCCCCATAGGTCCGCCCCTCACTGTAACTTATTTTTAAAAGAGAGTTTAGGTAGAGCCGTAGAGGTAGAAATTATGTGAAATCATGACTAGAAATTAAGATAGTAGAGGTAGGATCAATTAACTGGTTGAGAATTAGAAATTCTAATTCTATCAACAAGAGTAATGTTATATACAAAATATTCACCTAATCGAGCACTCTAAATAAGCCTAAAATATACGCGAACCTAAAATAAGTCAAAAGCACTCATTTGGGAAACACTTTATAAGAAACCTTAAAAAGATGCAAACCAATGTACTTAAGCAAAAATAAAAGGATTAAACTGGTGAATAAAACATGAACATATAAAATTAGTTATAAATCAATCAATCAATCAATAGCTACCACATGTCACTAATTATAAAGACTTATTTACCCTAAAACCTGAATAAAAATCTATAAATAAGCATGCTTGAGATAAAGAATGCTATGTCGAATTTATAAAAGCTTCCTCCCAAGTAATCATGTCCTTTCTTGCTCCTTATTGAGCAGCAGAATAAAGAGATTAGGTGGGAAAAATATTGTCTAGGCAAGCAAAATTTGTTTATCGTATATTAGAGGTCAACCAACAATATGCAGAAAGAAAGTAGACAGTTTTCGCCTCAATTTGATATTGTTCTTTTTTGATACTACAGTAATTCACTATAATAAAAAAAAGTATGCAAAGAGAATTTCATACTCTATCTTCTCTAACCATCTAGGTGAGAAGATTACTAACATTCCATCTTCTCTAACGTTATAACCATCTAAGTGCTCACCTTTATGTAGTCAATCCGTCATTTGTGTGTGATAGAATTGCTAAGTGGTTGAAATGTTTATCTTTACCTATGACAGAAGGGACCTTTGAAAATGCGTTGAAAAATGTTTAGAAGTGTGTGACCTTGCACAAGAAGGGGCCAAGAGGGAGATAAAATGGACTAATGGTGTTAGGAGTGACTGGCTAGAAGTCCAAAAGATTATCCAAATTGCATAAGCTGATCGAGGTTGCAAGTAGGAGTGGCCAATAGCTATTCACACGCTCTTGGAGGGTTCAATCATAGGACGG